GATAAACCCCAAATCAAGGCAGAATCTTGAGCTTAAAACCCTGAATTTGATAAGAGAACAGTCTAAAGTTTGAAGTTTTAGTTCATTTCCGAGGTGGGTTCTATAAGATAACTTCGATTCTTCAGTAATTTGGTAAATTCTGATCAGAAAAAAAACAGCTAAAGAATGTTCAAGAACTACTCAGAATCTATACATATCATTCACTGCCTCTTCTTGATTTTTAGCTGAAACTTTCAATAAAGATTGGATTTTTTTTTTGTTCTGTTTCTTGAATAATTGAAGAAATCTGCTTCTAGTTATGTCGAGCAAAACGAGGAATGTTCTTGAAGGTTTGGTTAAAGATAGTTCATTGAAATGGTTGCTTGGGAAACAAAGTAGTTTCGATGAAGAAATCGATGAGATTGAGAATTCTCCATCTTCTGGATCCAATTGGATACCTGAGCTTTCTCCAGTTGCAAATGTTGTTATTCGCAGGTGTTCAAAGTAAGAAATCTCTCGTCTTTTTAAGTTACAATGAATTGGTTTTAAACGGTTGAGTCCTGTATGAAAAAAGTTTAAGTCTTTGATCAAGATCCAATGAGAAACATTTTGATGCAGAATACTTGGTGTTTCAGTGATTGAGCTACAAGATAGTTTTAAACAAGAGGCGTCTGAATCTGTAAAGCAGCTTTTGGTGTATGCAAGGAACTTTCTAGAGTATTGTTGTTTCAGGGCACTTGCACTTTCAGTTGGAGTAACAGGTCATTTAGCCGATAAAATGTTTCGACGGTTAACTTTCGATATGATGGTTGCTTGGGAGGTTCCTTCTGCTTCTAGCCAGAAATTACTCAGTGTAAGAACACTTTGATTTCTGCGTTGTTGTGGTCCGTTGAGTCAAAAGGCGTAAAGATTTTCTTGTTTCAAATGTGGAAATAGGTTGATGAAGATCCAACGGTCGGTTTAGAAGCCTTCTCTCGGATTGCTCCAGCGGTTCCGATAATAGCTGATGTGATTATATGCGAAAATTTGTTCGGGTTGCTGGCTTCTTCGTCAAATGGTTTTCGGCTTCAGTTTTCGGTTTATGATAAGTATTTGTATGGACTTGAAAGGTAAGAATGAAGCTCTCATTCTTAGAAACATTCTAAGTGAAAAACTTAGTGAAACTCTTAAGTTTTTCTATTTGGAATCATTGTCTAGAGCAATAAAGAAGATGAAGAGCCAGTCTGAGTCATCTCTACTTTCCGGTGTTCGTTCGAAAGGAGAAAAGATTCTTGAGGTCGATGGTACAGTTACTACCCAACCAGTTCTTGAACATATTGGAATATCTACATGGCCAGGTATGTGTTCCTCTGCACAAACAATGTGTGGTGATTTGGTAAATTGCTCTGTATTCGGTCTATGGAGTTGAATACTGGTTAAATGCAGGCCGCTTGATTCTCACTGATCATTCACTCTATTTTGAGGCTATAAAAGTCGTGTCTTTCGACACACCAAAGTGTTATAGCTTATCTGAAGATTTGAAACAAGTCATTAAACCCGAGTTAACCGGTCCTTGGGGTACTCGGCTTTTCGACAAGGCCGTATCTTACAAGTCTATCTCCCTGTAAGGAATGATATTTACTGCAATTCTTCTCTTTTACCTTTGTTTCGGTTTCTATCTGACTGATTTGGTTACAATTTTTAATGACTCGTTTTTGTAGACCAGAACCAGTAGTAATGGAGTTCCCTGAGCTCAAGGGCCACACTCGACGAGATTACTGGCTCGCGATAATCCGAGAAGTGTTTTACGTTCACAAATACATAAACAAGTTCAAGATCAAATCAGGTGTGGCGAAAGATGAAGCTATCTCAAAAGCTGTGCTAGGCATTTTACGCGTGCAAGCCATTCAAGAACTCGGTTTAACAACCCCTGTGCATTACGAGAATCTTCTTCCGTTCAATCTCTGTGATCAGCTTCCTGGTGGAGATCTTATTCTGGAAACACTTGCAGAGATGTCCAGTTCTAGAGTGCTTGATCGGACAAACAAAGCCAAAGACATAGGTAACATATATTATTATGCAAATTGTATTTACCTGATATTACAGAATTCTGTGTTGATAAGTCTTGTTTTAACAGGGAGATTGCAATCGATATCTGCCTCGGATATGGTTTCGCAATTGGGGTTGGTGTTTGGATCAAGTCCAAAGGGTAGTAGTAGTAGTCTTGTGGTAGGTGAGGTAGTGGTTGGAGATGTGAATCCATTGGAGAGAGCGATTATGCAATCAAGAAAAAACTATGAGAAAGTGGTTCTTGCGCAAGAGACGGTCAATGGAGTTAAAGTGGATGGAATTGAAACCAATTTAGCTGTGATGAAGGTAAAACAAAAACAACTATTCTAGCATTTGGCATTTCCGCAAATGATTTTTGAACTTGGCTTTTCTTGCAGGAACTGCTTCTTCCGGTTATGGAAATCGGTAACTGGCTTTTGTCGTTAGGATATTGGGACGATCCATTGAAGTCTTTTGCGTTCTGTCTCTTCTCCACTTTCATAATTTACAGGTGACATACTGTTGAGATTTTTTTATGCGTTTGTTTTTTTTTTGTTAGTTACAGTTCTCTGAAATATTCTTCTTTTCGGGGTTTAACCTGTTTGGTTAGGGGATGGATTGGCTATGTTTTCGCGACTGCGTTTATCTTTTTATCGGGTTTTATGGTTCTCACAAGATGTTTCAGCAATAGAGAGAAATCAATGATCGAGCTGAAAGTTATCGCGCCTCCTCCAATGAACACAATGGAACAGCTTTTAGCGGTTCAAAACGCGATTTCGCAGCTCGAAGAGATAGTCCAAGATGCAAACATTGTTCTACTCAAGCTCCGAGCTTTACTACTCTCGCTTTTCCCACAGGTCTCTCTCGTCCTTCAATATTCTACTATTTTTAGTGTTTGGCAGACGTTGCTAGCGTTTTTGCAGCCACTCAATGTTTTTGGATAAAACAGGCGACTGAGAAGTTTGCGGCTGCGATCGTGATAGCTGCGACAATGATGGTATTGGTGCCTTGGAACAGTTTGATGCTAGTGTTGTTTCTTGAACTGTTCACAAGGTACTCGCCACCGCGTAGACCAAGCACAGAGCGGCTGATACGGCGGCTTAAAGAGTGGTGGTTTAGCATTCCTGCTGCTCCAGTGGTTCTTGAACAAAACATAGACATTAACAAGAAAAGAAAGTAAAAACATGTCGTTTTCCGCCACACGAGAGAAGAACTAAATAGAGACGTTGTGGTCCATAAGGGAAACTTGTGTAATGTGTGTAATTAACAACGTATATTCCTGTAGTTGCTCCTAGTTGTGCTATGATACTTTGGATTTTATGATTAGTGTGAATAAATAGTCTCTTTGCTGCATAAAGACACTAAAATTGAAGCAATTATTTGATTACTCTGTTTCTTGTTGTTGAAGAGAACAATGTAAAGAACTTTTTTTTTCCCAAATGTAAAGAACATTTAGCACTAGTGATTTGACATTTTTTGTGTCTCTATCCATTCTTGGTGTTCAAGAGCTCTTGGAAAACAGAGTTGCACACGTAACTTAGCGGAAAAGCAAAGCGGGTTTTATCTGTCATGTAAACCACAAAACATCCCTTCTCAGCGCAGCAGCGGTTAAGCAAGCTGCTACTCGTAGCAATTGACATAGGAATTCTTTGTGTTCATCATCATTTTCAAGAAAAAGAAATTTGTGAGTTGTATAACAATTTGAATGCTGAAACCTTCGGGCAAGTCAGATAACAACCTTCGGGCAACCAAACCAAATAGATCTGCTGAAAAAGACATGATCCATAGTCTATGACTGCCTAGCCAAAACGATATCGCTTTCTAGACCTCCGGACATTTTCTCCACTCTTGAGAGTCACAGAACGCTTTTCAGTGTCTTTACCACTCCAATGCTTGCCCACGAGGGTCAAGAATCCTGGACTGATGACTCTTCTGACTATAGCTTTGCGTTCAACATGCTTACCAATCTCATCAATTCGTGGAACCGTTTCCAAACCCTTAAACGTTATGTAGACATTTGCACAGTTGGCCTTGAGTCTCTCATTCGGCGGCTTCATACCTCCAATATCAGTTTCAATCGCCACTTTCAGAATCTGTAAGTCGGACATAAAATCCTGTAGCAACCCCCAGTTTTGGTGTGTTTATTACCAACAATGCATTCCACTCATGGTATGCAAACAGAAAAAGAAAGAAACAAAACTTACAGGTCTGCGCTGCGCCGACGCCCTATCATTTGCGCAAAGTAACAGTTCCATATAGAGATGAATCCAATCAGTAGCTTGCCACTCTGATTCCTTCAACTGAAAAAAGCAAGAGAAAACATATCACTGGTTGCTTCATTGATCATGAGCAAAACAAAACAAAACTGATCATGTTGGGTCTTAATAAATAATCATACCACGTAAAATCGGTTTGTATCATTCAGAGCATCATCTGATGGCCAATCAGGCAATTCACCATTGAATAAAGTACTATCCGAGACTGCGCAACGATAAAAGTGAGGCACAAAGGGCTCTTTTGTGGGGAGCTCTTCTGTGGACACTATACAACATAATTTTCAACAGCAAAAGTGAGAATTTATCTATATACTCAAGACCTGTACTAAAACAAAACAAAAAAATGAACAATGCACCAAAGTCACCTTCGTCTTTTTTATCTCTAGGTCTAGAGATAGAGCAGGTCACATCCAATCTGTTAACTTTCCGTTCATCAGTTCGAACCTGAAAGGTTTCTTCTTGGCGAAGAGAAGGATCGTATGCAAGCAAAGTCATGTAGTAAGATGAGACAGCGTTCTGTAACTTGTTGTATTTTATTAGGCGATCGAGCTCGAAGCTTGTTCCCTACGTACAGATGAAAAAAGAAAGGAATAAAATGAAAGTGGTATAATAAGAAGAGAGCATATGTTTGAATATAGATACTAGTTTATAATAATTACCTCCGACATATTGTAACGATGAAGCCCCAACATAGCATAATGCTTGACCATGAGATTCTCAGGCATAAGATTACAATTGCGGGCTATCAGTCCACCGGAAAATGGTGTTGTTGGAATACCCTCGATATCGAAACCCTAATTGACCCATCAGCAAGTAATCACATGGTTAAGGTTAGGGTTAGGGTACAAGGAACAAATC